CGAAGTTGGATGCCTAACCGACTGAGCCACCCAGGTGCCCTGAAGGTCACAGATTTTATTTATTGACCACTGTATCCTCAGGGGCTAGAATGGTGCCTGGCAAGTACTTAAGTATTCACCAAAGATGCTAGTAAAGGCAGTATAATTGCCTATAACAGTTAAGAGCATGGGATCTAGCACAGGTCTGAATCCTCCTGATGCCACCATTAAGTAGTGCTGTAACCTTAAGTGGGTTGCTTAATCACCCTCTGACTCACTTTTCTTATCTGGAAAATGGAGGAAAAAGTTAGACCTACCTAATCAGATGATTCGGGGAATTAAGTAAGTTTATATAAAGCACTTGGAGTAGTGCTTGGTTCAGAGTAAGTACTCTTTAAATATTAAGTTATTGTTATTTCTTTGGCGAATGAAATTTTAATACAAACTAGAGTTGGTAAGGCTCTGATCCCAGAGCATTTGTAGGGTTACCCAGGAATGGATGGATTTAAGAAATATTCAGCAACACAGTTGAATAGGATGTGGTAAATAAGGGTGAGGAGGAGTTAATTCCCTGATGTAAAACTAGAGATTTAGGTTTTCCTCACCCTCCCACTTCTCCCCTACCCCTCTCCCAACACACACACATACACACACTCACCCACTCACTCACTCGTTCGCTCACTCTCTCTCTCCTACTCTCACAGATTACTGTTTATCTGTTCTGGTTAGTACCAGAAGTTTAAATAAAGCCTGGTGGTTAGTCTCTGTTATGTTGGTTCATTGTAGCATATCCTCTTGAATTTTGTTTGGTTTCTCTATGATTCCTTTTCTTTCTCTTCCTTGAAGTCTCTTCCTTGGACTCTTGGATTCTTTTTTTCTCAGAACAGAAGTGTAAGAAGGGCTTAGGGCCACCACCATTTTTTTTCTTTGCTGAAATATTTAATTTAAATTTTTTATTATTTTTAAAAATTTACATGCAAGTTAGTTAGCATATAGTGCAACAATGATTTCAGTAGATTCCTTAATGCTTCTTACCAATTTAGCCTAGCCCATCCCCCCTCCCACAACCCCTCCAGTAACCCTCTGTTTGTTCTCCATATTTAAGAGTCTCTTATGTTTTTGTCCCCCTTCCTGTTTTAAAAAAAATTTTTTTAATGTTTTATTTATTTCTGAGAGAGAGAGAGCGTGAGCAGGGGAGGGTCAGAGAGAGAGGGAGATACAGAATCTGAAGCAGACTCCAGACTCCAAGCGAGCTGTCAGCTCAGAGCCCAGCGTGGGGCTCGAACCCACAAACCATGAGATCATGACCTGAGCTGAAGTTGGATGCTTAACTGACTGAGCCACCCAGGTGCCCGCCCTCCCTGGTTTTATATTATTTTTGCTTCCCTTATCTAATGTTCATCTGTTTTGTATCTTAAAGTCCTCATATGAGTGAGGTCATATGATATTTGTCTTCCTCTGACTAATTTTGCTTAGCATGATACCCTCTAGTTCCATTCACATAGTTGCAAACGGTAAGGTTTCATTCTTTCTGATTCCTGAGTAATACTCCATTATATATATATATATATACACAATGTGTATATATATATATATATACACACACACCACGTCTTCTTTATCCATTCATCCGTTAGTGGACATTTGGGCCGTCTCCATACTTTGCCTATTGTTGATAGTGCTGCTATAAACATCGGGGTGCATGTGCCCCTTCAAAACAGCATACCTGTATCCCTTGAATAAATACTTAGTAGTGCAGTTGCTGGGTTGTAGGGTAGTTTTATTTTTAATTTTTTCCAGAGTGGCTGTATCAGTTTGCATTCCTACCAGCAGTGCAAAAGATAATCCTTTTTCTCTGCATTCTCGCCAACATCTGTTTTTGCCTGAGTTGTTAATTTTAGCCATTCTGAACTGTGTGAGGTGGTATCTCGTTTTGGTTTTGATTTGTATTTCCCTGATGATGAGTGATGTTGAGCATTGTTTCACTGTTGGATGTCTTTTTTGGAGAAGTGTCTGCTCATGTTTTTAGCCCATTTCTGCACTGGATTACTTGGTTCTTTTGGGTGTTGAGTTTGAGAAGTTCTTTATACATTTTGGATACCAACCCTTTTTCTGATATGTCATTTGCAAATATCTTCTCCCATTCTGTCGGTTGCCTTTTCGTTTTGCTGATTGTTTCTTTCACTGTGCAGAAGCTTTTTATTTTGATGAGGTCCCAATAGTTCATTTTTGCTTTTGTTTTCCTTGCCTCTGGAGACGTGTTTAGTAAGAAGTTGCTGTGGCCAAGGGCAGAGAGATTCTTGCCTGCTTTGTCCTCAAGGATTTTAATAGCTTCCTGTCTTACATTTAGGTCTTTAATCCATTTTGAGTTTATTTTTGTGTATAGTGTAAGAAAGTGATACAGGTTCATTTTTCTGCATGTCGTTGTCCAGTTTTCCTAGAACCACTTGCTGAAGAGACTGTCTTATTCTATTGGATATTCTTTCCTGCTTTGTCAAAGATGAATTGGCCATACATTTGTGGATCCATTTCTGGGTTCTCTATTCTGTTTCATTGATCCGAGTGTCTGTTCTTGTGCCAGCACCATACTGTCTTGATGATCACAGCTTTGTAATACAGCTTGAAGTCTGGGATTGTGATGCCTCCTGCTTTGGTTTACTCTTTCATGATTGCATTGGCTATTTGAGGTCTTTTCTGGTTCCATACAAATTTTAGGATTGTGTATTCTAGCTCTGAAGAATGCTGGTGTTACTTTGATAGGAATTGCTTTGAATATGTAGATCGCTTTGGGTAGTATTGACATTTTAACAATATTTATTCTTCCTGTCCAGGAGCATGGAATATTTTTCCATTTTTGTGTGTGGTGTATGTGCCTTCTTCAGTTTCCTTCATCAGCTTTCTATAGTTCTCAGTGTATATAGATTTTTCACCTCTTTGGTTATGTTTAGTCCTAGGTATTTTATGGTTTTTGGTGCAATTATAAATGGGATCAATTCCTTGATTTCTCTTTCTGTTGATTCATTGTTGGTGTATTGGGATACAACTGATTTCTGTGCATTGATTTTATATCCTGCCACTTTGCTGAATTCATGGATGAGTGCTAGCAGTTTTTTGGTGGAATCTTTGGGTTTTCCACATAGAGTATCATGTCATCTGTGAAGATTGAAAGTTTGACCTCCTCCTGGCCGATTTGCATGCCTTTTATTTCTTTGTATTGTCTGATTGCTGAGGCTGAGACTTCCAGTATTTGTTGAATAACAGTGGTGAGAATGGACATCCTGTCTTGTTCTTGACCTTACAGAGGGAAAGCTCTCAGTTTTTCCCCATTGAGGTTGATATTAGCATTGGGTCTTTCATATATGGCTTTTATGACCCTTCTGACCCTACTTTAAGGGTTTTTGTTGAGAAAGGATGTTGTGTTTTGTCAAATGCTTTTTTCTTCATCTTTTGAGAGGATCATGTGGTTCTTGTCCTTTTCATTTATTGATGTGATACGTCACATTGATTGTTTTGCGGATATTGAACCAGCCGTGCATCCCAATTATTCACTTGGTCGTGGTGAATAATTTTTTTATGTATTGTTGGATCCAATTGGCTAGCATCTTGTTGAGGATTTTTGCATCCGTGTTCATCAGGGTTGGTCTGTAGTTCTCTTTTTTAGTGGGATCTTTGTCTAGTTTTGGAATCAAGGTAATGCTGGCTTCATTGAAAGAGTTTGGAAGTTTTCTTTCCATTTTTATTGTTTGGAATAGCTTCAAGAGAATGGGTGTTAACACTTCTTAAATGTTTGGTAGAATTCCCCTGGAAAGCCATCTGGCCCTGGACTCTTGTTTTTTGGGAGAGGGCCACCACCATTTGTGTACGTACTTTCCTCTTCTTGTCTCCCTCCTCTTCTTTTTCTTTATGCTTCTTCCCCTCCTCCTCATTGATTTCCTATCTGCTATTTCCCCACAATGGGAGACAAGAGAAAGGGTTTCCTTCTTAGTTGGCCTTGCTTATAGACTATCTTGGTGTTCACAGTTACAGTCATAATGGAAAACTTTGGGGAAGGTGTTAAAATACGTGTCAGAAAAGCATTCCCTTCTGCGATTAAATTTAACTTTAAAAGAGGTTTCTTTTACTTCAGTTCTTCTGATGTGATATTGAGAAGCATTTGGAATCCAGCACTTGAACCAGCTAACCTTAGGATCCTTCAGTTACAGAAACTAGCTAGCATCTAGAGTATTGCTTGTCTAGTAGGCAAGAGGAATCCTTTAGCTTACTGTTAGGCAGTCAGGTTCACCTGAACCAGAGGGTCCATGTTAGGGCCATGCTTTCATTAGGAGAGTGGGACTGGATACTCGGAGAGTCAAAGACTGGAGCCTCAGCTCTCTGCTGCAATCCTGTTAGTCTTTGAAATCTATTTATTTTAAAAAACTGTTGAAGTTCATGTGAATTTTGCATTCTACTCTACAGTTCATTTGTTTTGGTAGAAATGTAAATTTCCTCCCTAATCTTTTGCCTAAACTAGTGCTCTGGGAAAATAAATCCTTTTCCTTTGTGTCTTTTCATATTCCCCCACATACTGTCTCATTGCCTAGTTTAAGGAGCACATACGAGGATTTGGAGCCAGAACCTTTTTATTGAGTGTCTCTTATATATTTCTCATGATGAGTTTCTCATGAGGAGTTGGCTTTTTGGCTAATATGGTCCAGCTTTTTTCCCCCTCAGCACAGTAAGTGAGGCTTCTAAATCTTTGGAACAGCATTCTTGATCATACACAATTTGTAGTAAAAACTTTTGATTTCCCAGAGTTTGTAATGAATATAAATATTCTATGTAATTCCTTGTCTTGATAGTCATGAAAAGATGGTAGCCAGTGTTTATTGTCTTTGTAGTATGTGCTAGGTTCTCTTTTAGTATGTGCTAGGTTCTCTTCTCATCCCTTTTGTCTATCATGCTCTTGAATTATGCGATGCTTTGAAAACAATTAACTTGTCTGTAGATTTCATGCTAACATTACTATTGTTTTTAACTAACAGATTTCAACACTAAACTTGCACAATGTCTTTGAAACCAAGAGTAGTAGATTTTGATGAAACATGGAACAAACTTTTAACGACAATCAAAGCTGTTGTCATGTTGGAATACGTCGAAAGAGCAACATGGAACGATCGCTTCTCGTATCCTTTAGTGGTGATAAATGTTCTTGTATTGATAGTGATATTGTATCAATAACTATCAGTGAACATTGATTAATGCCCAAAAATTGACAGACTTGTTGAAAAGTGAGAACAGGTTTATGCTTTTGTGACTACTTTCAAATATATTGTTTATATTTCTAAGTTCATCACCTGTATGTGGCAGTCAACAAGCTGATCACCTTTCGTTGACCAAATACTTTCTGAGCACTTATGTATATGGCAGGTACTACGTGAGGCTTTGGGAACACAGTTGTAAGGAACCACTTTCCCTTCATTCCACTAAGGGAAACAGACAATAAACAGGTATTAAAATAATCTAATGCCAGTGCTTCTACTCACAGGTAGTGGTAAATATTGTGGAGAAAAATTAAGTGGAGTATGGCCATGGAGAATGATTAGAGTGTGGCAGCTTTTTTAGATGGGATGGTCTTAGAAGGCCTCTCTGAGGATGGTGATATTTGAACTGGACCAGAGTGAGGGATCAAGTCACACAGATACCTGGGAGAATAGTGTTATAGGTAGTGAATGGCAAGTTTAATGACTTGACAGCTAGAAGTATGTTTTTTAATTGGGTTGTCAACGTTTTTGAATTAGCAGTTTTAAATGAAAATACAAATTTGTGGTTTCCCTAGAACAGTCTGAACCCTGGTGTCCTGCATTCCTACATGACAAGCAATCTTTTTTTTTAAATGTATACATATTATATATATTACTTATATATAAAAATACCGTGCTTCCCCAGCACTTGGCATATAAACAGTGGCACCAAGAAAAAACTCCAAAATATTAAAATACTGCAGCCTCTTTGGGAAGTAAAAGGGGTCTCTGGGAACCCTTGGCTATTGGTTTTGGGGCAAAGCTGTGGAAGGCAGTCTCCTCAGCTCTACACAGTATCTCCCAGGGGCCAAGGCTGGTGAGCATGGGGGAAACATGTACTTGGAACGTGTTTACTGTCAGACTCCTGAATTGCCTCAGTCTTTTACCACAGGAAACACCAAACATGTCATGTCTTGGGGTAAAGGAAAGGGATTGGGTTGAGATCTGGTTGTCTCTGGCTCCAAATGGCATGTCAGTGCCCCAGAGCCCTGAAGGAGGCCTTGAAGACTGGGTTGATACTGTAAGAACCAGAGATTCTTTCCCCAGAAAGGGAAATTGAAATGTGAAGGTATTAACCAGAATGTTGTGGTGGTTCAGAGTTCTCTCAAACTCTGTGCTGCCCTCCTTAGCGGTCTTCTGGGTCTAAGGGGTGGCTGCTCTCTCTGTGTAGGCATACATTCTTTAGAAAAGCTTGGATTTTATAACAGTGATTCAACTTGTTCTCAGTGCCTAACTCAGTTTTTATATTAAGCTGAATATTGATACAAGAACAGCGAAGTTCTTGTAGACCAGTAGCAAACCATTTCTTTCATTACACTTGTAGTCGTTAGTAAGAAACATTTGTTAGTTATTGAACAACATTTGTTAGTGCCTATGTTCTAAGCACTAAGATAAATAAAATGATGGTAATGTTCCCAGGAACTTTCATAGTTTGCCAAGATGTTTTATATTTTTTATATTATTTGGTACCTCAAACAAGACTATCAGATTGTGGGGCAGATGTGATTATTGTCTTCATGTAACACATGAGCAAATTGCTATTAAGAGACAAAAGGACTTGCCCAGACTCATGCAGGTAGTAATTGAATGAACACATACTTGAATATGAGATTTCCAACATCTAATTCCTGTGCTTGCCAGTCTATCTAGAGGATAATTGATATAGAGTCTGCCTTTGAAGGACTTATTATTGAATTAATCTCAATTTTTTTTATAGAACATCATGGATTGTTTTTGCATACGAATCTTTTTTTGTGTAGGAATCTTAATAAAATGGAACAAGTGTTAGAGGCTACTGTGTGTTAATGAGATTTCATTAGATGAGTACATAGGTAGTTTATTTAGTTTTCGGCTAAAATAACAGAGAAAGAAGGAGTTGGTCATAGAAATACCCAGCTTCTTTGGAAAGTGCCCATTCAGTCATTATTTCTAAGATGTTTATTGTTTGATTCATCTAATCATTCTTGATCTGTGCATGAGTTTTCTTCTCTTCCCTTTAAAATAAAGAAAGCTGCAGAAACAGTAAAATTAAGAATGGAATTTCTTACTTTAAATTTTATTTTGGAAAATAAATCACTGTGTTACTAATTGTTCTGAAGTAAAATTCTCGCCTTTTCCCCATTATCTTGCCCAAGAATATAAGGTTGACTTCTGACCCTTAAATATCTTAGGTAGAAATTTTAGAGGCTATAAAGCTAATCTTTTGAAAATGGAAAAAGGTCTCCCCGAAACTGTGTATCATCATATGTGATAGTACTTGATCTTTAAAAAAATTTTTTTTGAGAGAAAGGCAGAGCATGATGGGGAGAGGGGCAGAGAGAGAGGGAGACACAGACTCTGAAGCAGGGTCTAGGCTCTGAGCTGTCAGCATAGAGCCTGTCGTGGGGCTCGAACCTGTGAACCGCGAGATCATGACCTGTGCTGAAGCCGGACGCTTAACTGGCCAAGCCACCTACGTGCCCCAGTACTTGATCTTTAATGAAGCATTTTTTAGGGGAGTGTGAACTGTAATGCAGTTGACTCTTGAATAGCACAAGTTTGGACTGTGTGTATCCAATTAATACATTTTTTTAAAATAAATACAGTATAGTATTGTAAATGTATTTTCTCTTCTTGACAATTTTAAAAAGATTGTCTTTTCTCTAGCTTACTTTATATAAGAATACAGTATCTAATTCATATAAAATACAGAATATGTGTTAACCAATTGTTTATGTTTCAGATAAGGTAATAGAAGGGTATTAGTTTTGGGTGAGTGAAAAGCTATACATGGTTTTTTTTCTGTGGAGGTTGGTGGCCCTCACCCACATGTTGTTCAGAGGTTAACTGGTACATATGTGGAAAAATTCCCAAGGTGTACATGTGGGATTGAACAGGTAATTATAAAGCAAACACCCACATCATCACTACACAGGTTAAGAACTAGAATACTGCCAGGATCCAACTCGCCCCCCCCCCCCAACTCCCCCCACTACATGTCTGTCTCAGTTTACAAGCCCACTCCTGTACCTTGGAAGTAACTACTATTCTGAGTTTTGCACCTATTGTTTCCCTCTTGTTTTTTGATAGTGTAACTGCTTATGTATACAACCCTAACAATTATTGGTTATTTCTGTGTTTGGAACTTCTTACAAATGGAATCATACTGTGGTACATTTTTTGTGTGTGTCATAATTTTTTCTTTAAACATGTATATGTATGTGATTAATTTGCTACCAGTGACATTGTGAAATATGCATTACTAGCACCATTTTATAGTTGAGAATGTTGTGGCTTACTGATATGATAAAATACTTTTTGATATTTTAGGATAGAATGCAGAGGTAAAATGCTCAAGTGCCCTTATACTCTTTAAACATTTTTTTAATGTTTTTTATTTATTTTTGAGACAGACAGAGAGTGAGAGGGGGAGGGGCAGAGAGAGAGGGAGACACAGAATCTGAAGCAGCCTCCAGGCTCCAAGCTGTTAGCACAGAGCCCGATGTGGGGCTTGAACTCATGGATCATGAGATCATGACTTGAGCTGAAGTTGGATGCCCAACCAACTGAGCCACACAGGTGCCACTTTTAAAAATTTTTTTTAATGTTTATTTTTGAGAGAGACAAAGAGACAGCACACAAGCAGGGGAGGGGCAGAGAGGGAGGGAGACACAGAATCTGAAGCAGGCTCCGGGCTTTGAGCGGTCAGCACAGAGCCCAGTATGTGGCTCGAAGTCACAAACCATGCAATCATGACCTGAGCCAAATGCTTAACTGACTGAGCCACCCAGGCAACCCTCCCCTTATACTCTCCAAGCGGACATTAAGGAAAGGTGGTTTGCTTGTTGAAGTGTTTAACATGTGTAAGTACAGAACTTACTGAATTCTTGTCCACAAACATTTTTTTACTAAATATGAGCTCTATAAGGGCAGGGATTCTTACCCTTTTTGTTCATTGCTGTAGTCCCAGCATCTGATACATATAGATACTTAGTAAATATTTGGTGAGTGAATAGCTACTGACAACTAAATAACATTAAGCATTCTGTACAGATGAAATAAATAGCATCAGTATTTGGTTAGTTCTCATATTGTGTTGATAAGCAGGGTTCTTAAAACGGACCTTCATAAATGTACTGCATCTAGATACTGTGCAACTATTTCTGATTACTAAGTAATGTAAATAAAAGACATCTTTTCTTAATGCATAACAAATTACCACAAATTTATTGGGTTAAGGAAACATCCTTTTATTATCTCCAGTTCTGTGGATCATACGTCAATGGTATGACTGGGTTCTCAGTCATGCTCAGGATCTTAGGAAGCTGAAATTAAGGAGTTGGCTGGCTGTGTTCTCATCTAGAGCTCAGGGTCCTTTTCTAAGCTCATTGCTGTTAATTAGAAGATTTCAGTCCATTGCAGTTAGAGGTCTGAGGTCTCCATTTCTTTGTTGTCTGTTGGCTGTGAACTGCTCTCAGTGACTTGTCACTACCTCAGTTTTTGCATGTGACCCCCCCTTCCAGCAGCATGTCAACTCTTTCTGTGCTGACTCAACTGTCCTTAGGCAGTTAGCCACTGAGGGCCAGGAATAGGTGAGGATATGCTTCTAGGAGACTCATTTAGAGGAGCCTGGGTGGCTCAATTGGTTGAGTGTACAACTTCGGTTCAGGTCATGATCTCACAGTTTGTGAGTTTGATCCCCGCGTTGGGCTCTGTGCTGACCACTCAGAGCCTGAATCCTGCTTCGGATTCTGTGTCTCCCTCTCTCTCTGCCCCTCCTCCCCCAACAACTCTCTGTCTCTCTCAAAAAAAAATTTCTAAGAGACTCATTTAAGGGGCACTTGGGTGGCTCAGTTGGTTGAGCAAGAGCAGAGCCGACTCTTGATTTCGGCTCAGGTCATGAT